AGACAAGCCTGCAGCTTTGAGGATATTTGTTTAACCTGCTTAGACAAGAAGGTGGTGTGAGAGACATTAAAACACATGTTTATAGTAGTCAACACACATCAAGGAGGTGAGAAACAAAGGAGCAGCTGCTGTTGTACTGAACATGATCCTAGACATACAGCTAAGTTTGCTGACAGAATTGTGAATCCCCACTGTGAATGTTTCCAAGCCCTGCATACACACTTCTTGTCTTAATACATGACAGCTCTGTGGTTGCTGTTATCCTCTTTTCGGCCGGCTGTTGCCCTGTAAAATGATAGTGGAGAATGGTGGGCTCAAGTTGACAGGCGACTGAATTAAAGCCCTTAATATATGAGTTACATGTAGACATGAAGGGGCACGCTTGAACAACATCCCTCACCGTCGTAATTGCACGTCCACTAAGTTAGCTTAAAGGTTTCCCCGGCTAAAGCTATTATTTAGACATGGATTTGTTTATAAAGACAATACGCAAACTACTGTGAATATTCTAAACATAAATATCATGTTTGCTCGGCCTCCTCTTATCTTAAACAAACAATTGGCTCGGGACAAAACTGCGACTAACGGGCTAATTTGCACTGACCACCAGAATGAGGCTCCAGCCTCCTCCTCTACTGATATTCAGCATCTTTTTAAAGTGCGCAAGTGCGAGTCGGTCCAACTGAAGCTTTGGCCTTGCCTGAATAAACGTAAATTTTGGCCTCACTTGATTTTTGAAATCGCTTATTTGATAAATATAATTCATAGTTTGAGGTTTAGCTAATTTTGGGTGTAATTTTAAGAGAAGAGACAGTAGTAAATGAGCAAATTGGTGCTGAGTAGTGAGACCTATTTTGAGAGGCGGAGCTCGTCGCTTCTCGACTCGGTGAGGCGCGTTCGTAATGAAAGGAGCGCGTGAGCAGCGCTTGCTGTGACTTCCTCGCTCATCGGCAGCTACATTGTGTGGAAAGCAGCACGTTGTTGGCTTCTGCACGCTGAACTTTACGCCGAATTAACGTTCTCCTGTTCAAGGAGAAACCAGATTCAGAGCTACCAGCTATTCTATCAGACGCCTGTAAGTTATCCCAGCTTGCGAAAAGATGTCGGCCTCGGCGGCAAAAGTGAGTAAAAAGGAGCTGAACTCGAACCATGACGGAGCGGACGAAACCTCCGGTAAGGGGAATGGCGGCCTCCTGTTCACCGCCATTTTCACTTTCTTCTCTAACATAATGTGCATTGCCACGGGGTGCAATATTGTTAATAATTGTGCATATTGTTTGATTTTGCTTAATGCCCCGGGACCTTCTTCGTGGTTGACGACCGCGGGTGATGCGTGTATTCACATTTTGAGGACAGCAGCTAGCTCGTCAGCTAACGCGGGTATTAGCATGCCACTGCTCCTGCCTGCTGTTGTTCAGCTCAGACCGGGGCTGAGAGGCCATGTTAGCTACTGGATTTAGCATCATCAGCGTGGCCAGTTATGTCGTTGGCTACTGTCTGAGTAGTATGCGATACTGGAGGAGCATTGTTCTGTGGCGCTGTTGAAGAATTACCTCAAAATGGCCAATATAAATTTTAACTGTTGTTGTGTTTGTTAATAACCGTAAAAGTTGGCATTTTCATTTGGGCATTAGCAGTTAGCCAGCTAGTGTTGTTGTTGTAATGTTACCTAACTCAAGCTGACGACGTTATGTTTTGTTACTCAGAAATGCATTTAAATTCACCGGTCCCGCAATCAGCTAATCTAACTAATTATTATATTTCGCCATATGAGCAGCGTTTTGATAGTTAGGGGAGTTTATTCTGGCATCTGTCCGAGCTCAGTCCCCTCACGTTATCGCAGCTCTGTGTGTGCAGTGAGATGCCCCACATTTAAACCACGCGGCCTTCTCGGCAGCAGCCGGCAGGAAACGGTGAGTGTCTGAGCCGCTAGAGCTGCAGCCATTGGCCGCTCACATTACAATAACCTCCGGGAGAGCCCGGCTTTTAATCTACCGATAACCAGACAACTACAGTTATCGACCGCGTACTACAGAAGGATTAGTTATTGTAAACGCCTAAACAATTGGAATAGCAAAATATCGCTCCGTAGACCCCAGTAGTGCTCGGAAATATAGTAAACTTAGTTGCAGCTATAAAAGTAACTCGCGGTGATGGCAAATGTAATTATTTTTATACACTAACACTTATATATTTACTTACTTTTTTATTTAACCACAATCTGTCCATGTTTTTTTGTTTTTAGTCCTGGATTAATTTATGTGCAATACTTTCTACAAATTTTTAACAGTTATTTCTTTTTTCCCCCACAGAGAAAGAGCAGCAGGAAGCTATTGAACACATTGATGAAGTTCAAAATGAAATTGACAGGTAATTAAAAAAAAAAAAAAGTAAAATTGGGGATGTCACACCTTGTCCTTAAAGCTAAAGAGATAAGTGCATCACTTTAAAGGAAGAGGGACTGAATAGTGATATGTTATCTGTGGTTGGCATGAAAACCTGCAGAATCTTAGTCCTTCATGGTGCTCTGTTTGATATCCCTGTGTCTAAATAGGATTGACCACATACAGAACAATTTAAATTAACAACAAACATGACAGGGATTTTGTTTTTGTACACTCAATCTGCATAAGCAGTCGAAACTGAAGTTAAATTTGGCTTGTGATTTTTTCCCCTTCAGGTTGAACGAACAAGCCAGTGAGGAGATCCTCAAAGTAGAACAGAAATACAACAAACTCCGTCAGCCATTCTTTCAGAAGAGGTCAGAACTGATCGCCAAAATCCCCAATTTCTGGGTCACCACGTTTGTCAACCATCCACAAGGTGAGCAATTCACATGGGATTTTATTGCCTCTGTCTGGAAATAATTAAATCTCAATAATAAGTCTGAGTTATTTGGACAGTGACTAAGTATAAGTCTGTTTCCCCCACAGTATCTGCCCTACTCGGAGAGGAAGATGAAGAAGCACTTCATTACCTGAGCCGAGTGGAAGTGACAGAGTTTGAAGACATCAAGTCAGGCTACAGAATAGATTTTGTAAGCATTGTAATGTTGTGTGCACTCACACCCAAGATTAAGGTGCAGGTTGGTTGTTGTGTTCTTATCTGGGTGCATTGTATCTTCTAGTATTTCGATGAAAATCCGTACTTCGAAAACAAAGTACTTTCCAAAGAGTTCCATTTGAACGAGAGCGGAGACCCATCTTCGAAGTCGACAGAAATCAAATGGAAATCAGGAAAGGTATGTGTATATTGATATGATAGAAAAAAATATTCTGAATTACAATTTGACATCTTATGTTTATATAATGAAGCCCTGAGATCTGAGCTGCTGTACTAGCTTTGACTTTTTAAGTAGAGAAAATCAGCAAATTTTAAACCAGTTCGACCTGACCTCACTCCAGAATTGCACACTAGAAGTTTTCAGCTAGACATTTTAATTTTGTTGTTTGTAGGACCTGACCAAGCGTTCCAGCCAGACACAGAACAAAGCAGGAAGGAAGAGGCAACATGAAGAGCCAGAGAGCTTCTTCACTTGGTTCACTGATCACGCTGACGCCGGTGCCGATGAGCTCGGGGAGGTCATCAAGGACGACATCTGGCCAAACCCTCTGCAGTACTACCTGGTATGTGTACATCCAGGTTAATGTGTCCTTGCTTGTGGCATATACATTTCCCTTGCTGACACTTTCCATAATAAGTATACATCTTGTTGCTGTCCGCTTATTTATATACTTCATTTTTATCTGGCTGTGGATGTTCCAAGCATTGTTTCTTGCTGATGATAAAATATATTCTATTCACCAAGACAGCAAACTCTCTGACATCTGGTATAACTGAACGACAAAAGTGCTGAAAGTGATTCTAATCCCTAGGTTCCTGACATGGATGACGAAGAGGGTGAAGGCGAGGATGATGAAGAGGACGAGGAGGGTCTGGAGGACATAGATGAGGAGGGAGATGAAGATGGAGAGGATGATGAAGAGGATGATGGAGAAGATGGAGAGGTAAAGTGATAAACTCAAATTGGAGCTGGTAACAGTTATTTGTTTTCAACGCTAACTGACGATCTGATATCTCATTCTTTCAGGATGACGAGGGAGAAGACGACTAAGAATTAACATAATCTACCCAGACCCTCAACCTTCTATTCCCTGTTTGGTTTTTCCACTCACATTTGGGAGCAAAGGTTTTAATTTTATTTTTTTTTTACTTTTTATTTTTTATTTTAAATCGGTGTGTGCTTCATTTTCCATTCTGAGGCCTCTTCACTTGTTGGTGCCATGTTATGTTCTCCTTTGACTCATCTTAGGCCAATGGCACTTTGCCCTGAATTTTGAGTACCATCGTCAAAGTCATCTCAAAAATAACTTTAAAAAGTATAAAAATAGAATCAGCACGGCATCCTGAATAGAATCTGAAGGCAATTCACACAGAATTCCTCCTGTTAAAGGTTGTGTGGTAAATTGACTAAAGCCATGGTGTAGTGACCCAGCGCTAGTTTACCTCTCAATATTTTGTCCCCATATTTTTTTTTTTTTTTTTTCCTTTTCCAGTTGGGGTGTTGATCCCTTGAAGAAAACTGTCATGTTCCCCCTATGTGGTTAACGAGTACCAGCTCATTCCTTTGACTTGTAATGTTTAGCGGGAGGGGGGTGGGGTAAGCTGGGGAGGGGCAGTTGGTTATTGGGGAGAGTGGTTATTTTGACACCATTTCTATGGGACTTTTTTTTTTTTTTTCATTGTATTGTTTTACAGATATCCATTGAGATTTGAAATGACATTTTTAATAAAGAACAAAATGGAGAAAAAACAAGCTTGTAAATGTTGGCCCCCACTGCTTCATGAGTAAAACAAACCTGTTATCTCATTCACATTTAATCACACTTTCCTTTTCCGCTGGGGGAAAAAGAAACAGTTTTAAATTTGAGGTGTAAAACTTGCTTTGTTACGATAATAAAACTTACTGTGTTTACATGTGTGGGAGTTTTCAAACAAAGTAGGTGCATATAACTTTATTTTAAAATAGTTGTAAGTAGCAGCAAAGGCACCTGGTTTACAGTTGCATTGTACAGTGAATAGTACTTCAGCTCACGAAGGATTTTGGCGTCATTAGCAGACTTGAAGCAAAGTCTTCTCTTAATAGACGATCTGTGATTAAAGCCAAGAAGGTGTGCTCAGACTCCTCAAAGTTTGTTTTCCTGATCGTGTCTGGCCAGTCACTGGGCTGGAAGGCCCAACCTGGAGTAAGGGGGGGAAAAAAACGTTATCTGAAAGACCAATTGGGACCACAATATATAATAAAACGTAGCACATGGATCCAAACAAGTGGATGCCAGTATAAAAAGATGAGCATGAAAGCCTGTTACTGCTTGCTCAGTGTGCAGTTATTTATCACTTAACTCCTACAGAGGTTGAGATACCAAACTCATGCCAGTTAAGGCAGTAGTTTAAGTGTGTATTTACTTAAGCTTCAAGTTTTCACTAGCTCTTAAATTAAGATTTACAACACTAAATCCTCACTATTTATCTTAAATTGTTGAAATTAAGTATTTCAAAAGTTGCATGAGTGCATAACTCAATTTTTAGTTTGATTTAATTGTCTTACAAAGATACGACAGAAACTTGAAAATGGGGATGAATAACTTAAATTTGTTGGATTACACAAGACAGTCTTCATTTTGATGCTAAATGCTGATGACTACGGTCTGTGGCATAGATGGAAGTACATGTCAAGGTTAAAACAGTGTAAGTATCACATGCTTTGTCGTTATGAATGTGACAGAAAAAGACGAAACATTTCTTGGTGGTCGAAAATATGTCTCCTTCATCTCATAGTACAGGGACCTCATTAAAGTGTTCCTGAAACTGCTCTCTGTAGTAAGTTGAAGATGCACTTTTTGCACCACTACGGATTCGTACCCACCTAAATGAGTTTTACACCTGGGACAGGTGGCCACCGCCCACGAGAACCCCGGGAACCAGGAGAAGTGTGTATATGCAGGCCAGTGCTGGGTAACATCCGCTTTTCTGAACGTAATCACCTCAAATTGGTGTCCGTGGGGGTTTTCGAAAAGCTGGATGTTAACCCTTCGGCCTCCGACAAACGTGTCGTTGCGGCTAGAAAGAGCCAGTCGGCTTGGGACGAAGTGGATGTCCGTCCCGGACGCCAGCTCATGTCCGCACGCCCTGCACAGTATCAGGGTTGCGGGGCTGGTTCTCCCTTCCTCCGCTACAGCAGCACACGCCTCACCAGGCTGGTATGCAGCGGGATAAAACAGGAGTACAAAGGAAATATACTGCATTATTAACCTCTCCAGCTGCTTTACTAGCTGCCGCAGGCTCCGTGAACACTTCATTGCAGCCTCGTACGCACATGGAAAGCTAATCGCAAACTAGCAAGCTAAACTGCTAACGTTAGCTTTGTTTTTAGCTGAGGTGGTACGTCGACGAGTGTCCTTTAATTCTTAAATACCAACCTAAAGTACCTCAGATTCATCACTTAAATATGGCAATTCGGTCAAGAAGTACTAACTTGCAGGATAAGTATACTACGATTAGGTGATTCGTGACCGTAATACTAGCACAATGAACATTAGCTTGCTCTAAAGGCAAACTCATTCGGGAAGTTCCGTGGAAAGAAACAGGAAATGCAGTCATGTCAACCATTTCCTACTGTAACTGCGCACATTACAGTATAACAGTCACTTAAGAGTTATATTATCATTTAACGGTTTAAAATGAAACCACTTTTATATTAAAGCTATTTCATTTACACCTTTGTCACATTTAAACTGTAGAAATACATTTTTTAGTGTAATCCGCGGTAACCACCATTTTGGGTTTCATTGTGCTTTTTAAAAACGTTTTTTAAGAAAGACAGTAAGACGAAAAACGGTCCTTGAATAAAAACCTAGATAGCTAGAAGTTTATAAGGAGATGGTCGCATTCATGTTTAACAATTAGTGTAAGTTTAACATAGAGAAGTTTAAACCATAGACCGTTACCACGGGCAACGTTTATCGGAAACACGCCTCCACCAATCACAGAACGGGATATTGTGAACGAGCCAATCAGGGTGGTCATTTGTCGACCCAAACAACCGTCAGCTCCACAGACAAAAGTCGAGATTTTTCTTGGGAACTTATCACGGCAATAATGAGCTAACGTTACCGCTTTTAAAATGTGTCGGGTTGGGTCTTTGTTGATCCAAAACGCGGTCTGAATGTTGTTGTAACATCTCGACAGAATGAAAACCCGGGATTCACCACCGCCGCCGGTTCATGTCCATGTACCGGAGACCACACCTGTACATGTTCATATGAGGAGGAGTGTCAGCAGAACCCCACAGGTTATTAGTAGTAATTAACTATAATTGAAATGCACGTTGACTGTTTCATAGCTCAGATGATTTGCATGCTGATATGCATGGTAATGAAAGTTAGAACAGCCCAAATGCATCTTACATTATTTTGGATATTGTAGCTAATGTGTGAAATTCATCACCGTCTGTTTTCACCCGCAATCATTTGTTATTTTCTTTTTTAAAACAAATAAATAGACTAAATTAGTAAGGTTGCTACAACAAGTATGAGTTTTACCAGTGGAATCCCTCACTTTTTTTCAGCAGAACAGGACAAAAGCTGCCCAGGTGAAGGGAGAGGGAGGGAGGCCAAAGGTCAGGACGCCATGGATTCCTCCAGGAAGACTATCCTGCAGTAGAGGAGTGGGTTCATACAAGTGTCAAGTCTCTTTCTAGTGTTCATCTCTCACTGCCATGCTTTCAACCAGTGCCAGTAAGCATGCTGCCAAATGCACACAACTGGGGTAGAGGAAGGGATATTCTGGCAGGGATTTGCTTCCCTAACAGGACAGACAGGTTTGACACGAGTGTTGAATGTGGTCAAACAAAACTGCATTTAAACAGAATACAGTAAGAAGTGATAATCAAATTTCGTGGCTTGTTTACCAATATGTCAATTGGAATTAAGCGCATAACATGTCTGCTACATAGCAGAAGGGAGTTGCAAACTCAATTTAAATGCTGTTTGTTTATGTCTGATATTCAGAGAAGCAGACTGCAGCATCAATCAGAAAGTGGAATCGGACAACAGCGTGATGCAGAGGAGCAGGAAGAAGACCTGACTGCGGGATCCAAAAACCTTGATGTCCTAATCAGAGAGCAAGAAAACGTTTGTCGTTTAAAGAAGTAAGAATCTCTTCAGCAGCCAGAAAATATCAAAGCTTTGTACTCAAATGAAACCCACCCTTACACACTTGCACGTACGGTTATGTGCTTTTCATTTTCTTTTGTGGTGATGTCTTCTTTTGGTGAATATTGTAACTGTCCAAAAGTAGACAAGAGACTTCTTATCAAGATAATTTTAGTTTTTTTGTTGTTGTCAGTCCCCTCAAAATTAGAAAGCAAGGGCTTATCTCCTGTAAGGTTGCCACAAATAGACCAGGAAACAATACAGTAAAAGTGGGTTACAGTTACAGGATGTAGTGCACTTTGTTAGTTTTTTTTTTTTTTTTTTTTACTGAAAAACGTTTGTACACATGCTGTTTTATTTGGTGAACTGTGTTAGTAAGCTCTGCCGTTTGTCCCTGACTAATATTTTGCTGTAGGACATAAAACCTGCAGTGTAGCAAACAGAAGAAGCTTCTCATTGTGGTAAAATACTAATACTATGTTTAGACTCATCATAAATGTTGATGAAATGTCAACTTTTTATGTAGATGAGGTGCCTCTCTGCTGCAACATAACCTTACAATTACCACAAAAAATGCAGGCCTATGATAAATAGGTACATGTGATGACCGCTGTATTCACACGTTGGTATTTCAGTTTGAATTTTTTCCCGTGTTGCTTGCAGATCAGATTCTAGGGGCCAACACAGGGAGACAGATGTGCTCTTGAGGGCGCTCGTAGAAGCAGAAATCGATGGAGTAGCAGTAGCCAATCAGCTGACAGCTCTGAAGGAAACTATCGACAGTCTCGCTAAGGTACATTAGGCACCAAATGACCATTTTGTCTTCAGAGTTTGCTTTGATAGATGCAGGATGAATGAACTGAGTAGGACTTATTTTGTTGTACATGATTGTTGTATTTTTATTCACTTATTTTATTTTAGGACAAGCGGCTATCAAAACTGCACGCAACTTCACTGGGACGGCAGCAGGAGTTGTTGTTAGAGAAGATAGAGATGTTTGACAGCACGAATCACAGCCTTCGTGAGCTCCTCAGAGAGTGGTGTGAATACGAGGTACAGGAAGAGGAAGAACACTCGAGGAGAGGAAATGTCAGCGTGCAATAATTCTGTTCTGACTGTTATTTGGATGCTGTGTTGTGTCCACAGAGAGAATCAATGGTGTGGTCAGAACAGAGAGATACCTTAAAGAAGAGAATGGCCGACAGTAAAGCAGAGAACATTGTGAGTAATTATCACCTGGTCATATGCAGTGCTGTTTGTCTTTCATTCAACGTTATCAGCCACCAGACATCTGAGGAGATTTGTCTTGTTGTATTTTTTTCTTCTCTTAAAGCGGCTTTTGGCCAAACTCACAAACAAGGAGAAAGAGGCTTCTAAGCTTGCTGAGCATTTGGACTTTGAAAAGGTTGTTTGAAACTTACCATTAGATTTGTGCTGCTACCATACTGGTTTACCAAAGTAAAACGTTTACACAACTTGTATTCTGTCAATGCTTGGTAGAAAAGATTCATAGCTCAAACACAGCCACATACTCACTCTCTGCTTCCCTCTGTCATGGCAGGACAATGTGAAGACAATGGAGGAGCTTTCAAGAGTCCTGCAGTCAACCCGTGAGCATCTGGAAACTGAGCTGAACAGAACAGAAGCTGAGAAGGTCCATCTGGCTGCTCAGTTGCATGTATGTGAACATAAAATACAATAACACAAACAAACACACACTTGAACTGTCAGATGTGGACTAGTTGATTTCAATCATTGATCCAACACACACTGACTGAGTGAAATGAGTGCTAAAGTAAGTGTTAGAACGAAATGGCCAACATATTTCAGGCTAAAAACTCTACATGACCAATCAGTGTTACTAAATCAGTATCCAGAATGAGGATACTGTGTTGATATTATAAATTATGATGATTTTATACTTTGGTCATATTGTCTCTTTCTCTGCTCTGATTAGAAAGCACTCATTCCCTGTAGTCTGGAAAGGAGGCATGGCAAGAAATGTATCCAAATATTTATAAAAACTTCTCAAACCTGCTGTATTATCCACACTTTTTCCTCAGCCTGACTAAATAAACTACTTTTGTGTCACTTCCTTGCCACTCAGTAGTTTCGCTGGAAGTTGTCTGCTGGTGAAGTGAAACGATTGTATGCAACCCTACAGAAAATGAATACTTTATTCCTTTAATCCTCTCTTGTTTACCAATTGGAACTCAAGAAGAGTAGGTTTGTACCAGATAACTGTGTAATGGAGGAGTAGATAAAGTTCTGCCTGCACTTGCTACTTGTTGCTCATTTATAACTGCAGCATCTTACCTGTGGGGTAAAAAAAAAAAGTAAATGAAGCAGACCCAACTAATGTGACCCTCTGAAATGGGCTTTTTTGTCACTTTCGGAAAAAAGTCCCTTTAATTCCTCTTTAAACTGGAGGTGTGTATGTCTCTTTCCTTCTGTGTGTGAAACAGAAGATGCAGCAGAGCTACGAGCAGCAGCAGGAGGATCTACAGGCTCTGCAGGAGGAGCTGCAGACTCTGAGGCAGCAGCGAAAGGAGGAGAAGGAGGAGCGGCAAGACCAGGAGGTACTGGCTCTGCTGACTCAGCAGGCTGAGCGAGCTGAAGAGTCCACCAGGCAGCTTGAGGCAAACCTGCGGGAGAAGGTGAGTATTCAGAGGTCCCACGGGTCCATACAACAATGTCTGAAAATCTCAGAACATCAGAGTGGTGGGCGATGTCTAAAAATTACAAGCAACATGTCTTTCTGCAAATTCCCAGTTTGTTAGAATGATCCACAGACCTCTCTGTGGTTTATCCTGCATGCAAATGAGTTTTCTCACTGGTGGCGTTGTCTTGTCTGACCACACGCTTTTATGCAAATCAGGTTCGCAGGAAGTTCAGCCAGTGTATTGGTTCAATTGCATTATTCCAGTGAAACACACAAACACCTAATTCTGAGGCGAGGAGGCCTATTTTTACTTTGAAAGCACATGATTGCTGAGTTAGTACAGAAAATACAGTAGCTAGATAGATAGATAGACAGGTACTTGATTTATTGCCAAAGGGAAATACTAGTGTTGCAGAAGCAGCGGTTACATAAAGTAAAAACAAAAATAAAATCACAGTTACAGTTTCTTGCTTTTTGGGTTTGTTTCACTTTACTTTGAGTCTTGTCTTGCAGCTCCTTACCTCCTTTTGTCAGATGTGTCAGCAAAATGTCCCAAAATATATAAATGTATTGCAGGTGTGACATAATTTGAACAATCATGACAATATGTGTATTTTGTTTAAGGAGTCCCAGTTGGCTCAAGCTCTGTCCACGTCCAGCGACTGGTGCCTCCGCCACTCTAAAGAGGCAGCCGCTAAAGGACAGCTGGAAGAGGACATTTCTGCTCTCAAACTGTGAGTGCACATTTAGTTTGTTGCTGTAAAACATCATGATGTGTGCTCCATGGTAACAATTTCAGATTGTGATTTTTGACTTGAAAAATTATGCCATTTGATACAATAATCCCCATTTACAGACAGGGATGATCAGGCAATCATATCAGATTCATAGTTATTTTTGGTGTCTTTTCCATGGTATAATGTAGACTTTGTGTATAGACAGAATTTAAATCAGCACTTCATGTGGAGTAGATATCGATGAAAGTCACAGTCCTCTTGCAGCAAAACACAACTGTTTTATAATAATTTCACAAATTATTCCTTAAACATTTGAATGATCATTATTACCCCAATTTGTTATTGTGAGGACTGATGCTCAGCTGCAGTGTTACTTTGATTAAACTAGACATTCTTGGAATTTATGAAATAACATTTTTATGTTGTATTCAAGACAGAGAGTTAAATCAGTGAGTTATTCAATTCTGTAAATTAGTAAGTCATAAAAATAGAACATGTAAGTAGAGTGAATGTGACAGAAATGTGCAAAGTCCTGTGAGTGTCAAACAAAACAAATTGTTTAAGTTTAATGTCATAACAAAAAATAATATAAAGTATCTTATATTTCATTGCAGTTAAACTGTCTTTTTTTATAGATTTAGAAAATGTACAATGACAATATAACACAAACTTTACAAACCTGCTTCCATCACAGTCAGGTGACCGAGCTGAAGTCCCGGCTTCATTCAGCGGAGGAGAGGAGTCGGGCGGAAAGGGAGGAGCTTAGGGATCAGCTTCATCACGTCAGCGCTGAAAATGCCTCCACCAAGCTGGACAACCAAAGACTCAAGGTACCTTCAGGATTTTCTTCTTGCAGATTTGAGATACTTCAAATCAATTTCTTAAACTGAAAAATAAGTTGATTTATGGAAGATGGACATTGTGATAGGTTTTCATGAATCATCATCACCGAAATTTTTATAAAAATGTATTTAATTTACTTGTGCTTTCTTGACAAAAGTGTTACAGAAAATGTTAAATTATCTCAGTTTTGACAGTTTCTTCTTCGTCTACTGTTTCATATTTTCAGGGTACTACAAGCCTTGTGTTTCATCATTTTTATTATAATCATACACCATATTTAGGGTCAGTTGACGTCATCAGAGGAGAAGCTCAGCGGTGTGCAGTCTGAAGCCCGTCGGCTGAAATCGTCCATCAAAAAGTACGAAAACCTGGTGGAGAAATACAAGAAGAAGGTACATTCACACGTTGGTGATGCTGCTACACACTCAAACCTGCAACAAATGACAAGTAACTTAAACCATGTGACCAGATTTCTGCACAATGATTTGCTTTTCTAAATACTGTGATTGCAAAGTGTATGTAGACACCAACTGATTTCAGGAAACATGCTGTCGGGGACACATTTCTTTTTTGCAAACTGTTAAGAGAAAAAATAAAAAATAAATAATTATTATTTTTTTTATTTTTTGATTTGGTTGAAGTAACTCTTCACTCTGGAAAAGCATAATCTCTTCATGGAAACACTTCAGATATCATAAAGTGTGAAGTTTACTATTGCTACTGTGGCGTAGTGACGTCGGACTTCTGTGTGCAGGTCCAGCAGGCTCGTCTGGAATCGGAGGAGTACTGCCTGAAGCTGGAGATGACACAGAAGGAGGCACGAGAGGTGAGGGTGAGCCTGGAGACAGAGAAGGAGCAGGTGAGGCGGGAGTTGCTGGGCCGGCTCAGAGAGCTTGAGACACTGCCCGACAGAATGAGGAGGACTGAACAGCAGCTCAGAGCCGCCCAGCAGGAGGCCGACGCCCATGAAAGGAGGAACATGGAGCACAACTCCACCCTCTCTGAAGTCAGACACAAGGTAAGCCTGTAAAGATACAGTATGTTATAGCTTTGACACTTAGAGGGAAAAAATAAGTGTAACGATGAAGGTCTACTTTGTATTTCAGTCATTAGTGTGTTGAAATCAATTCATTACAAGTTAGCTAAAGGTTTAAACAAAAGTCCAGGATCTACAGATATGAGGTCTGGAGCCCACAGTTATAAAGATTCCTAACAGGGCAACAACTGACATTTCAATATAGATAGATCTTTATGGTTCAAACAACCAAATTCTGTTGAAGCAATCTCGTCCAATGTCTCTGTTCCTGGGATTCTCAGTCTGCCTGAGGGGAGAGTGGTGAAGAAGGGGTTTTCGGGGTGTGAGGAGTCCTGCTGGATGTTTGTGGCCCGTTTGAGGAGATGGCTGGAGTGGATGTCCCACAGGTTTGGTAGGGGGGGAGCCGATAATCCCCTCAGCCATCTTCACAACCCGCTGCAGGTCTTTCTTGTCTGCAGCAGTGCAGCTGGAATACCACACAGCAATATGTCAAAACACTTTCTATTGTGCAGCGGTAGAAGCCGTTCCCCAGCAGCAATCTCTGGGGGAGCTTGTTGTGTCTCAGGGTCCTCAGGAAGAGCAGTTCCTGCTGGGCTCTCTTGATGATGTAGGTTGTGTTCAGGCTCCAGGTTAGCTTCTCAGTAATGTGTACTCCCAGGAACTTGAAGCCACCCAGCCACTTGAAGACCCTCTCCACCTCAACTCCACTGATACACAGACCATTGTTTTACTTTTCCTGAAATGTATTATGATTTCTTTTGTTATTTTTTGTGTTGTGGTCGTTGTCCTTGCACCAGGTGGTTAGTGTCTGAACCTCCTCTCTGTAGGTAGGTTCTATTATTGTTTGTTATGAGTCTGACTATGGTTGTGTTGTTGTTTTCCCTTCTTTGGTGCGTTTTACTGCCATTTTTGTGTGAGAGGTTGATTGAGCATAACTGTTAAAAAAAACCCTGAAATTACGCTAGGTGATGTGCGTTTCCTCTGACAAATCAATGTCTAGTGGGCATCTGGCCTAATTTCTGAATCTGTTTCAAAACCATCCAGATAAATAAAGAAATGTGTAGTGGTCACCTTGAGGTGCAGTCCCTGCGACCCTTTCAACTTATTCATTTCAGTACTATAGTGTCATTCTTTATACTACCACCAGAGAGCGCCAAAGTTTATTTTCCCATCAAAACATTTTTAAGACAGTGTTGTTTTAGGACCATCATAATAATTCTCTACAAAAAAGTTTAATAATCTCTATTCTCAGTGTTTGTGACCTGGAGGCTTAAGGTTTCCACAACCCAACTGTGTAAGTTGCATACTGGACCCTGATTGTGATGTTATAAAAACTGCTGGTACATACACATGATAAACCTCAGAGAAACTTTCCTCCTTCAGCAGATTCAGGTTCAGGTGTCAAGCTCTGCGCATACATCACTCAAACATCAAGAGTGAAGGCAGAAAAACACATTTTTAAGTGAAGGGGAACTTTGCTTCAAGTTAAATAAAAGCTTTCATTTGTTTTTTAATATGAAAGAATTGATCCCATTAATAAGGAAATGGAACAATGATGTACAATGATTAAAAAAGAAATGTGTCTAGTAGTTTTTTCCACTTTTCTAAGAGGAGGAAAGAAAATTAATGTAGTCTCTTTCTTCTCAGCTGTCTTCTGCTGCAAGAAACAGTCTTGCAAGCTACCTAATTTAGTTTGACTAGACAGAACTATTGGCAGTAATAATGCAGGATGAATGCATGGAAGTGGGTTTCTTCTTCTTTTTTTAAAATTTTTTTTTTGGTATTTATTTGAAAGCAGGCAGCAACAAGGTGACAGAAATTGAGGGGAGACTGCTGTTATATGGCCAGTGATTGCATGTTAATTGTGTTCCTCCCCAGATGGAACAGCAAGGCACTCAGCTGGAGACGTTTCAGCAGAGGAACCTGCTGCTGCACGAGGAGAACAACGTTCTCAAAGAGAAAATTCACAACTTAGAGCGGTGCAGACGCTATAAAAATTAATATATCCATCCAAGTTGAAAGTATCACTTGTACACAATGCTTGCCGACATAACAAAACACTTTGTGACAGAAATTATTTCCATGCGTAGGCGGCTTGAGGACATGAAGATAGAAAACAAAGAGATGTGTCAGGCTCTCTCCTTGAAGGATGCCAGTGTCCGCAGCATTCAGCAGCAGCTGGAGGAGAAGACCCTCGAGTGCAGCGTCCTGTCCAGGCAGCTTCAACAAACTCTGGACGACGCTCAGATACAGGTCTATAGGGTCACATCTTTTACGTGTCCATCAGTGTCCTCAGAACAAAACATCACATAACAACCTTTACACTGGTGCTGAGAAACACTCAGTTTACACAAGTCTGGACTTCTTTGCTGCTTGTATTGTTTCAGTGGAGTTGAAACAAGATATCTCTTTTACTTTTTCATTAACTTTTTATAGCTACAAGAAATGTGTAGGCCTCAAAACCCCCAATAATTAACATTTGTTTGGTTTGATGTGTTTACATGTCTACAGTGCTCCTCAATCATGAATCTAAAAGTAGAATAATGATAAACAATTTAGTGTTTTATTTATGGGTTAATACTGGAATATTGCAGTCCATGTTAACATAGTGAGGAATTTTTTTTTTCTTTCTGTCCTACAGGTGGACAACAGCATGCAGAGGGTTTTAGCCAAAGAGAGAGTGTCTCAGTCTAAAGCCTTGGACCTGCAGAGCCAGCTGAGCCGAGCCAAAACAGAGCAGAGTCAGCTACAGCGAAGCAAGGAGGAGGTACATTAGGATGTCCATGGATTCCACATGGTGTGATATGGGTTTTCAGTGGCTGATGCTGATATTTAGATAGTAGGTCGGCCTACTGCCAATATATGATGCTGATATCAATACATAGAAAAGTCGTGCAAAGTACAATGTCATTAGTAGATGTCATTTTTATTAATTAATGAAATGAAACACTTGTGAGTGGTGTTTCAGGGAGAGTGGGGTACAGTAACTGGATTATTTTCTACATTTTAAATGCCAGTAATGGTTTTAGATTCGATTAGCTGTCATTTAGGATGGGAGAAACATGTAAACACAATGGTACCATCGTGCTCATCCTGCGTACAGGGTCACGGGAGCCAATCCCAGCCACACATAGACACTCACATTCACACCTAATTTTAGAGACACCAATTAACCTAGCCTGCATGTCTTTGGATGGTGGGAGGAAACTCCACACAGAAAGGCCAGGGCAACCGGGGTTTGAACCCACGACCTCCTTGCCGTGGGGCGACAGTGCCAACCACTGCACCGCCGCCCTGGAAAGACAATGGTGACTCAGAAACTAACTTTTTCACCATCTTCTCAAAACTCACAAAGGGGGAGCTGTCCGATGATGTTAGTGCTCCCCCCTTGTGACGCAGATATGTTTTTATTTAGTGGCCTCATGAGTGCAGGCCGATTCCCATCATCTCAAAATGTCAGATATCGGCAGGATTAATTGGTCTTTCACTAGTTCTCATACTATAACTGCTGTGCAATGTAACAGTGGAAATCAAGATTCTTTTAGAAAAGCATTGTTTCTGTTTTTCTTTAGATGGAGCGTCGTTTCCAGAGTCAGCTGCAGAACATGAAGGACAGACTGGAGCAGTCAGACTCTACAAACCGCAGCCTGCACAACTATGTTAATTTTCTCAAAACCTCATATGGAAACGTGTTTGGTGACTCTTTGCTTGCAAGCTGACTGCAAAATCCTCCAACCTGACCAGCATTCATCCATTCCCAAAGCATTGTAGTAGACCTAAATGACATTTATTCACTACTACTTCTGACCTGAGAGTTTTATATGCTATCTATGAAATTAATAAACAACTTTTTAAAGGAAATTCTTATATTTTAGTTGCCTGAAATGTATTTATATTCTTTTGAATAAATAACTATCTATCGTCCAAAAAAGATAATAATTTTTGTTTTACTTATGCCAGAACTTAATGATTCAAAATATTCTTTCTCAGTCAGAATCAGCTTAATTGCCAGGTATGTGAACACATAGGAGGAATTTGACTCTGAATTGCGCAATGCTCACGATGTGCTTACTTATACAATAACACAATAATACAGTAATGAAATGCAAATATTGCTTTTAAATTTAAATTGTGACACTGTGACATCTTACATCAGTTTTTGTGAGGACGTGTGTGCCGACTAAAACCTTCCGCACATACAACAACCAAAAACCCTGGTTCACAGACCAAGGAGGAGGCCTTCAGAAGTGGGAACAGAGTCCTGTACAACCAGGCCAGGAACGCTGACTTAAGAAGTCAAAGCAGCAAAGAGATGCTACACGGAAAAGCTAAATAACAGCTTTGCAGCCAACGATCCTGCATCAGTGGAGAGGCCTGTGGACACTCACCAACTACAGGAGACCATCCCCCAACTCTGCTAGTATTCAACAATGGCAGACAAGTTGAATGGCTTTTATTGTAGGTTTGAAAAGCCCACAGTCACCTCTCCCCCCACTCCAACACTGCATGAAAATCTGTGCAGACCAGCTGGCCCCCATCTTCACACAGACCTTCAACAGATCACTGGAGCTATGTGAAGTTCCCTCCTGCTTCAAACGCTCCACAATCATCCCGGTCCCCAAAAACCCCTCCATCTCTGGACTACATGACTACAGGCCTGTCGCCCTGACATCTGTAGTCATGAAATCCTTTGAAAGACTGGTGCTGGCCCACTTGAAGGACATTACAGGCCCGCTGCTGGACCCCTTGCAGTTTGCCTACAGGTCTGGATAATGCAGTCAATTTGGGACTGTATCACATCCTACAACACCTCGACTCTCCTGGGACATATGCAAGGATCCTGTTCGTGGACTTCAGCTCGGCATTCAACACCATCATCCCGGACATCCTCAGCACCAAACTCACCCAGCTCACTGTGCCAGTCTCCACCTGTCAGTGGATCACAAACTTCCTGACTGACAGGAGACAGCAGGTGAGGCTGGGGAACATCACATCCAGCACCCGGACTATTAGCACTGGCGCCCCCCAGGGGTGTGTGCTCTCCCCACTGCTCTTCTCCCTCTACACCAACGTCTGCACCTCAGGAGATGCATCTGTCAAATCCTGAAGTTTGCTGACAACAGTCATCGGCCTCATCCGAGACTGTGACAAGTCGGCCTACAGACGGGAGGTTGATCAGCTGGCTCTCTGGTGTGGTCAGAACAACCTGGAGCTTAACACACTGTGGACTCAAAACTATAGGGATGACCGTGGACTCCAGGAGGAGCCCCCCCCCCCACTCTGCCCCTCATCACCATACTCAACAGCCCTGTGTTTGCTGTGGAATCCTTTTAGATTTCTCGGAACCACTATTTCCCAGGACCTGAAGTGGGAGCCCAACACTGACACCATCATCAAGAAGGCCCAGCAGAGGATGTACTTCCTGCGCCAGCTCAGGAAGCTCAACCTGCCTAAGGAGCTGTTGATCCACTTTTACACAGCCATCATCCAGTCTGTCCTCTGCACCTCCATCACTGTCTGGTTTGGATCTGCCACCAAACTGGACAGGAGCAGACTACAATGGACAGTCAGGACTGCAGAAAAGATCATTTGTGCCAACCTGCCCTCCATTCAGGACTTTTCCAGAGTCAGGAAATGGGCAGGAAACATCACTGCAGATCCATCTCACATTGATCTGCAGTGATGTCTGTTTTTGTTCATAGTGTGTATACACTGAAGTCTGTGTCTGATTTTTATTATTGTGATTTTGTATTTTTATATGAGTAAGCACATCGTGAGCAATGTACAATCCAGAGTCAAATTCCTCGTATGTGTACACATACCTGGCAATAAAGCTTATTCTGATTCTGATTTTGCAGTTTTGTCAGTGTTTGAGAGGTTTTGGTGTGAGAGGTATCTGAAAGCAAACAAATAATGGACTGACAGCTTTTTAAAAAAAACAGGGACCGCTAGAAGGACTGGAAATACAATAGTAAAATAAATATTTTTATTGCATTTAAGGTTTTGTCTTGTGCAATGCTATTTTTATGAGATCAATAACAACATATTATAAGGGTTATGGCCCAACCGGAAGAGCGTCTCGGTTGTAGGCGGGCTGTTTGTCGTCGGATTGTAATTTATGTAACCTCATCCGGCGGTTCAAAACTTCGCCAAACGCTATCAAGTAGTTTGGGTTTTGTTTACCGCTCTGTCATCATGCCTGCTGAAAACCTACGATGGGCAACTTTAGAGGCCTTAAAAAATTCACCAAAGGCAAAAATCTCATTCGACCCGTACTGGTCAGAAAGGGGCGAGGTGAGTTGACGCCAGCGAACTCCGACATTAGCTAACGAATGGCTAGTTAGCCAAGCTGTCTCTGCCTGTTTAGCTAGCTAGATAATTTAACGAATTAATTTATTAGAGTGACTTTTCTACCATTTAGCTCTACCAGGACGATCTGCAATGAGGATAGTCCCCACCACAGTTTGCTAAATCACCAATACTGACTAATTGGAAGGAGCACAAGCAGGTGGAAGTCTTTAGTTAGGCAACGTATTTAGCAAATTGTTTGCTAACCTAACTTAATAGTATTAAGCTGGATGAAGCAACTTAGTCTTCCACTGAGTTTAACAGGCTACGAGCTGTTTGGTGAATGAGTGGACAAAATATGTGCTGGTCTTCCCAGCAGTGACATCTTTTTAAGGGCTGTAACGTTACTTGTAACATATTTCGTTTATTATTTCCCTTTATGTCACTTTATACTTCTAAGCCAATGCATTTTAGATTAAAATATTGGTTTCGTTAATAGTTACTTTTTAGATTAAGATTTCAGATAGAAAACAAATGAGATGCGTTTTAAATATTATGCTAAAGTTTTTTGGCCTGTGACCCCACAGATTTATATTGTGACCATTAAGAGTGGTGGGAACCACTGGACAAAACTAGTAACTGTAAATAAAGTAGTTAAAACTAGCATTAACTAGCTACAACAGTTATCTATTGATGCATCAGTCTTGGCATACTTTGACTTTTGATACTTTTAAGTACATTTTGCTGATAATACTTATTTACTTAAGTAGGATTTTGAATTTAGATTGCTGTGTTGGTACTTTTACTTGAGTAAAGGATCTGAGTACTTCTTCCACCACTGCTGATCAGGTATATTTGCTCAAGCACATGAGTATTTCCATTTTATGCTACTTTATACTCCACTACATTTCAAAGGGACATGTTGTTTATAAATTGCTTTTTTCCCCCTCTACACCTTTCTGGTGCATTTAAACACACTCGATGATGGTTCTGTCTTCTTGCAGCATATTTTGACTGGTTGTAAAGAGACCTTCAGCTTGTCCTCGCATTCTGGGATCATATTGGAGCGTCTCGGCTCCTTGCCCCTGCAGACCTCCAGCTTTCTGGGCTCCATCTCCGGAAACTCCAGCCCTGAGGAGATCTCGGCCTCAGTTTCATCCACAGGATCCATCCCTGACCTCAACGCTAAGCAAGCCGCACTTTCTACAGCCCCGCCTTTAAGGACCGAGAGTGACCAGGAAAGTCTCTTTTCTAGAGTACATGCTGATCTTTCAGTGTTTTTACTATGTGAGAAAGAAGTGTGTCAGAGTCTGTACACTTCTATTGGATTGAAGGAAGTGTCCACATAGTAACTTTTGTGTCATTTGACAGGGTTTTTTTTGAGCTTAGTGGTATTTGGGTGTTTGCTTCCAGGGAGTAGATATACAGTATATGTATAACAAAAAGTTGGTTTCAGAAAGTCATCATGATACGTGGCAACAAACAAGTTTGAGTTTGCAAGGATATTACTGAAACAGACAAGTTGTTGATATAATTGTGCATTATTGTTGGTGACTATTATAACCAGCAGATTCCCTGTGTTTTGTTTGTTTGTTTTCAATTGGATATTTAAATAATCTGTGGAGCTGGTTTAATGCTTTCATCCCTATAAAACAAGAACAGCTGCACACTTTGTATTACTTTCTGTGACTCTGTTGGAGCTCTGAATGGATCTACATGTCTGAATGTGTGACTTAATCTTTTCCTCACGTTTATGTGCTGCAGGCTGTTAGTGATAACACGAAGGATGAAGATCCAGAGGCAGGTGTCAGCGAAGTTTCCAGTCCTGCATCACTACCTACCATCTCCCTGCTGTCACCCAAAGCCATGGAGACGGCTGGTCTCATTATCAAATTTGAGGATGAGCAGCGTGAAAAGGCCAAGGTCAGACACAATGACTCTTAATGAGAATCCCAGTAGATTTTCAACTAACAAGAAATGCCTTCGTATTTTGGTGCATAACTTTCGCAATAAAGAGGGTGAAAGAAAAAAGTATTGTAAGTCATAGAAAATAAGAATTAACAATAAAAGAAAATGTTTAATTATCCCATAAGAACAACTTAACGGTTGTGTGATAAAATGCTGCCTGTATCAGTCTCACCTAGTTGATGTCTGAAATCTGTCGGCTCAGGTGGCGCTCAAACTGCGGCTGGAAATGCAGGAGAAGCTGGTGGCGGCGGTGGCAAACTCCGAGTCGGAGCAGCTGAAACGTTTCGAGGAGTTCATGGAGCTGAAGCAGAGGCAGGAGTACCAGAGCATGAGGGACATGATGGACAGAGAGTAAGAAGCACCGGCAAGGATGCAAGTCTTAATGATGTTGGAACATTTCTAAATTGTTACGTGTGATCAAAACTCTTCCACTTTCTGCACTGTAGAACTAAAGAGAGCATCGGGCGTCAAGAGAAACTGAAGGAAGAGCAGCGACACAGAATGAAGGTATGATCATCAGACTACATGTAGAAAGGATACTTAATGTGATACCCTAAAGATGGTTGCTTTAAAGGTCTGGAAGCACTGTAAAGTCTGGTGCTTTTTAACAGGGATCTCAGAGTGGAAAACTATTCCATACTGGCAAAACAAACTTAGAGTGATGAATCTTAAGTCTCACAGTAAATTAATTCAACTTAAGATGTCACTTCCTAAGTTTATTATCTGTGCTGATATTTAGGAGAGCTCCATAGTTACCCTAACCTGTTTCATTACTGATAATAAAAGATAGACTTTGGGCAAAAATCAAGCTCATGCTGTCACCGCCTAAACTGAGGTCCTCACAAACATGGCAACAGCGCTCCTCAGATATCGTGCAGATTCATTCATTTACAAAACAAGCTGCAAATGAGGGGCTTATTTGTTAATTTATTCATGTTTTAATTAATAAATTGTACTAAATAAAAACAAAAAAACTTTCTTTGTTCAGTGGACAAGAGCTTAGTCTACAGAGGGATAACTATTCTATATTCTAGGATACGGCACTATTACATTATTATAGGCGTTGTAAAAACGGTGTGATAGGATTTTATTTATTACGACATATTTTTGCTGTCAGGAAAACTACCACATGCTGTCATATTTTGTACTTGATTCTGTTAAAACAGCGACATCACACACTCACACAGTATCCTTGTCTTTGCTGAAAGTATGTGTAGGTGGTAGGGCTGCACGATTTGGAGAAAGTCATATAGTAACAATAACTAGTAAAACAAAACTAAGGGAGCATGTTGCTCTACAGAGGAGGCAGCTAGAAGGAGCAAATATTGGCATCCTGGCACCGGCTCAATGTAGATCTGTCTAATGCAGAGTCTCTATCTACAACCTGGAGGAGGAACTATTATACATGAGTCTATTAGTATAATATTATTATAACTTTAAATAAACAGTATAATTTTCGGCTAATAGTATACTGGGGTGGTGAGGGCGCATAGATAACATGCTTGCCTATGATGTGGGAGACCAGGGTTCAATTCCCACTGTAAGCCATCCACCAGTGTGTCCCTGAGCAAGACCCTTAAACCCTAGTTGCTCCAGAGGCGTGCGACCTCTGACATAAATAACAATTGTAAGTCGCTTTGGATAAAAGCGTCAGCTAAATGAATAAATGTAATACTGTTAGTATAACAATAATAACCTATATTAATTACTATATTCATTATAACTTCATATAATAGCTTACTATTTTACCACTAGTTGAACATTAAATCCAGTTACAGCGGTTTCCTTTCTGTGGGTTATTTATTTAATCCTTGTGTGAGAAAACGGCCCTACATTGATCTCTAATTGGTTAATGCTAAGAACAAACGTGTATCATATTATTCAACATTTATGATTTGATGCCCCATCCAGGCTGTGATTGGTGGTTGACGAAAAGTGAAACTTACAGGCACGTAGGCTTTATGAAAAGTTGAACAACAAAAGGCACAGAAACAGCGTTAAAATGTTAAATGGCCAGCGAGCCAAACCCAGATCTACCTTATCTTCTCCCAGTTTTCTTCTGTCTTACTGCTTCAACCTGCTGCCATTGTCTCTCTGTCAGAGAGCAACAAGTGTTGTGCCAAATTCTGCATGCCTGCCGAGAATTGCATGCACCTCGCGGGTGGTAACACTGATTTATGCTGAAAAGAGGTGGATGCAAATCTCCACACTGATGAATCGCGGTTATCACTGCACACTAGCTGAATCATAAGGAATGATACTTCTACTTAGTGTAATAATTCATTAACGACTCTAAATGTTCATAAAATACATACTTCGAATCATTTATCACCATTGATAAACCCCACAAAGGATATTATAGCGTTAAAAAGCAGTTTTTGGAGGTGCATGACAGCAGAGCACCGCCATTCTCTCGGTGCTCCGGTGGCGCTTCCGACTATGTTTTGAACAGTTAGCGGTGGGGCAGGGAGGGGAGTTACAATAGGTTGTTGTCTTAAGTTAGCCGCGCAATGCTTGTGATTCATCTGAACTCACAAGTTTAGAAAGGCTTCTGTTAGCAGCCTTGCATGCTTTGTACATTATAAACACGTTTCCTTTCTCCTCTTTGCAGATCCTCAATCTGCGGCTGAGAGAGGCGGAGCAGCAGCGCCTGCGGGAGGCAGAGCTCGAGCGGCAGCGACAGGCAGAGGGCAGGGAGAGACTGCGTAACCTTAACACCATCCAGGAGGAAATCCTGCAGCTCAACCAGCTGCTGGAGCCATCCAGCAAAACTGATCTCCCGTCGGCCAGCCTCAGCTCCTACAGCATGCGCGGAAACCAGCTGTGCTCCCAGGTGTCCGAGGTGGTGCGAAAGACAGCAGAGGTCAGTTTAACTGCTGATGGGAAAAGTTCAGGTTCGGATCAGGGCCCTTCCTACACTGACAAGGAGAGAGATGGAAAATTATTGTGGTTGTGTTAAAGGATAATTCCAGTTTATTACAACATTGGCTCATATGTTTTGGTGTTTTGGCAATTATTTCAAGTAGCTGCAACTTTGTACTCACAAGTTTAAGTGAAGAAACAAACGATCAGACAGGTTGGAAACAAACCCACAGGTTGGCCAAACTTATTTGGAAGATGATATAAAAGTAGACCGTAAAATGATCACTCAGACTTTTCATAAACATACTTTAGGGCTGAACAATTAATTTAAATATTATCAAAATCACAATATGGCCAAGTGCATTATCCAAATTGCAGGAATTTATTGATGACTGTAAAATGTGTCACAACATCTCATTATAAACAAAACGTCTTGGTTCTACTACAAATAATATTCTCCAGACTTAAGTGAGCATACTCGTTTCAAATAATTTTTTATATATATTCTTTTTTGAATGAAATGAATTTTGAAATGTAAAAATTACCATTCCCACTAACATTGTGACACACATCGGCATATCTGTCTGAACACTACGATTTTTATTTTTTTTAGCATGTCGTCCATCAAGGTTTTTTTTTTTTCCTTTTCATTTGCTATCATACTTTTTTCGATGAATACTTTTGTCTGTAATATGTAAGATTTTCAAAATGTTTTTTTTCCTCTGACAACCAGTCCAAAATCTAATAATATTTAATTTACAATGACAATACATCCTCCTCACATAAGAAAAGCTGGAACCAGATGACTGAAAGGAGAAATTGTTGATGAATATTCTGTGGACTGAGTAATTGATCAATCAACTGATTGTTTGAGCTCCAGCTAGCTTTAAATATTTCATTCAGTGTGCAAAGTGCCGTACACCTTATGGTCGGTGTGTGAAGATGTTGTTTTTAATAACTTAAAAGATACTAATGGTTCTGTATATTTTATATATAGAACATGTATTGTTTTTCTTTCTAGCGGCTCTCAGGTGTCAGTTCAGTATGAATCACTTGATCTCTGATGTATCAACCTGCTCATCAGACTGGTGTAACCTTTTCTGCTGTGAATTTTCCCAGGGAGAGTTTCCTAGCATGGAGGACATGACCGTGGCGGAGCGAGCACTCCACGAAATGAGGGCGCTGATCAGGCTGATGCAGGAGGAGGTCGCCAAAGCTCAAGAGAAGAAGAAGAAGGATCAGGAGGAGGAAGAGCAGCGCCGGAAGCAGGTGGAGCTGCAGGTGCAACAGGAAGCGCAGAAGAAGGCAGCGCAGTCGGCCAAAGAGAAGGTGAAGGAGAGGAAAGGTGAGATAATTGTTCGGATCCAGGATCATATGCTATGGGTCACGGATATCACCTAGAACTCATTTCAGTCACAGATCCAAGATGTTTAAGATGATTCTACCAGATGGTGGAAAATCTTCATAGCAACCTATAAGCAGGGAAAAAATTATATTAATTGGCTTTAGAGTAGAACTGCATTGATTAGTTGTCAACTATTAAATTAATCTGCAACTATTTTGATAATCTGTAATTTTTTAAGAAAAAAAAAGGTAAGTCTCTGATGCCAGCTTGTTGAATGAGACCATTTTCTGGTTTTATTACTCTTATGACATTTTATAGACCAAACAACTAATAATCAACAATGAAAATGGTCATTAGTTGCAGCCCTGCTGTAGAGTAACACAGATCATTCCACCTTGACTGTACTTGTGAAACATCATCAGTGAAAGACTTTGTACTGTTTGTATCCACATGTAGACAAGTACAGTCCAAAATCCTGGAAGTGTTCTTTCTCCCCGGTTTTATCAAGGAAAGTTTGGTATCTGACATGTGTGAACTAGGTAGCATAGTATCCCAGAATGCATTTTGTGCCAACCAGCGGTGATGGCAGATATTTTGAGCCTGGCTTAAAGCAGTTTATAATTTTCATCCTGGGACAGCTTCTATGTCACTTAAGTTTTGATTTTTTTTACACACGGATATTTTAGAGCAGTTTTAAGAAATATACTTTTTTTGTTTTGTTTTTTTAACTCTTAAGATGTGAATGGATGAATTCAAAGGACTGCATTCACTAGAGCTATTACTAATTAATGTTTGTTTGGTAATGTAGACATACGTAATACCGTGAGTACTTTAAAACACTTGATGGTTCCAACAGGGCTGCAGAACAGTGCTGAAGACAGCACACTGAAATGGTACAAGGAGCTGCAGGAGTCGGCTGCTCGGTGTGCTCAGTCCTTTGAACAACTCAACTCTCCAAAAGACACCCAGGTGAGTTTGTGCTTTGATGATGATGATGATAATAATATCTTATTTTTTTTACTGCACGACTGAGGTTCTATACAAAATGCAGCTCAAACTGCTTTACAAATTAAAAGACTAGAGCGGTCGTCTGTACATCTTTACTGTTTGTGCCAGTTTAGAGGTCAGAGAGGAGATGTTTCAGTCAAACAAGAACTACAAGCCTAAGTGAAATACAGGCTAAAATAGGTACAAAGTTTTATATAAATTATAACTATATGATCACAGGAAAAGTAAAGACAGTCTTTTATTCCGTGTTTAGGACACGTTTTGGTCAGATCACAAAAAGTATGTAGGTGATGGTGATATGTAACATTTACAGTATTTATGGATGGTTTTGTGTCTCTTCTCTGGACTCAGACCAAGAAGCTGAAGCTGGAGCTCCAGAAAGCAGCTAGCATCCCCGTCAGTCAAATCTCCAGCAACTCGGGATCGCAGCTCCAAGAAATCTTTGACAAGATCGACAAGCTGCTGTCGGGGCGGGCGGTGATGTCTGGGGGGAAATCTGTCTCCACCTCTCAGCATCCACAGGGTCTGAACTTTGTCAGCTACAAATTGGCTGAGAAGTTTGTGGTGAGTTACTTTGGTGCTGTGTGATCATCTCGGAGCTACTGGAAAAACTAAAAAAATAACTAAAACCATGTTATTTTTCCTTAATGACCCTAACTGAAAGATTTCTAACATTTATTTTTGAATCACCATTTTTTGGCACTGCAAATTATTATTAAACAAAACTGAACTTGAGAAATTGTGATCTTTCACTATCCACATATAATGGGTGATTAATTCATTGACAAATTAATCAAAAATCAGTTATTATTTGCCGCCCTCAATAGATGTATATATTTTAGTGCAACTGGAACTTTGGTCCAGGTTCGAGGAGGTTCCTAGTAATCCTGCTAAGTGATAAAGACAGACCTCAATTTCACCCAGAGACTGACGGGCGGCTGTGGATCAGGAGTTTGAGCGGGTTGCCCGTCAATCGGAAGGTCAGCAGTTCAACCCCGGCTCCTCCAGACTGCATGTCGAAGTGTCCTTGGGCAAGATACTGAACCCTGAATTGTTGGCTATGAATGTGTGTGATGCAATATAGTGTTAAAGTGCTTCAAGTGGTTGCAATGACTAGAAAGGCACTATACAAATACGGAGCATTTACATTGCTGTTGTTAATTATATTAGTAGCAGAATAAATAAGATCTGTGTGATATCCTCTTTTATGATATAGTAGGTGACAACAGTGGAAATGAAAGCTCTAACTCTTGCAGTGTGCGTACCAGTAACACAGAACAATCATATCCTCAGTATTTAGTCTATAATCTGTACAAATAAACAAAAGCCATAACAAAACTCCCCTGGGATTCATTTTCCTGATTTAAATATTTTCCCCCATAGAAACAAGGAGAGGAGGAGGTGGCGTCTCACCACGAAGCCGCATTCCCCATTGCCGTGGTGGCCTCTGGTGTCTGGGAGCTGCACCCACAAGTGGGAGGGTTCATCCTCGCCCACCTGCACAAGAAATGTCCGTACTCGGTCCCACATTACCCTCCGATGAAGGAAGGAATGCCTGTGGAGGAATATCAGAGGTCAGGGAGACAGAAACGTGTTGCTGCACCTTCCTTTTACTCAGTTGTTATGTTTGATTAATCACAAAAATAATCCTCATGTCATCAGGATTCTTGGTTACCGTGTGGACGACTCTGGGGTTGAAGGTCAGGACAGTTTCCTGAAGAGGATGTCTGGGATGATCCGGCTCTACGCCGCCATTATCCAGCTGAGGTGGCCCTACGGCTCCAAGCAGGGGGTAAAAACTGTCTCACTTCCTGTGTTTGAACGGTTTGTTCACTCCATCACAGTGACCACACTATTTCAAACTCTTAAGACCTTTGGATCTGTGTTACAGTGATTTTGTGTTGAAATGTAAAACACTTTTTATGGGATGTGTTTCAGTGTGCTCCTCACGGTCTGAACCACGGCTGGCGTTGGTTGGCTCAGATGCTCAACATGGAGCCTCTGGCAGACATCACGGCAACCCTCCTGTTTGACTTTCTTGAGGTGAGTCCTGTACTCTTTCTCTTTTCTTTTTAAACATAATATTAATCCAAAATATATGGCACAGACTCATTTGAATATGCAGATGAGGGGTAAAGTCTGACCATTTCGTCTAATATCATCATCAGCTCTGAAAAGTTTCAGCTCGGTCTGCAGTGTTTCCTCTATATGCATTCAGCAGCGGCGGTGCTTTTTCCCACGATCATTAAACTATGCGCTACAAATGTTTTCACTGCAGAACTCAACGCTCGGCTCGCTTCCTCTCCTCGTTCTATTCAGAACATACGTGACAGTTGGTGATATAAGAGCAGCGCAACTCTGAATCAGGAGGTGCGTAGCGAGTGTTTGATTGTCCGAGCGGCAGAAAGTGACAGGGAACGCGAGCGGAAGAAAATATTCTGGTAGTAAATGTACGGTGTCTGTCAGCTTCTCAAGACCAAGAAAAGTCTGTTGTTTCCCACCTGCTGGAAAAGTGAAGACTAAGCTAAGTTAGCTAACATCTCCCCTTCAGACTGCGCAGCTGAGCAGGAAAGCTTCTACAGCAGCTACACAGCTGCTATGTAACTTAACATTAGCTCAATTTATAGAAAGTAACTGGAAGCTGTATTTTATTACTGCCTACTAGTCCAATGTTGAGAACATCAGGTACAAACTTAGACTAAACTGACGTAGCCTGCAGCTCTGTCCTGTACAGACTGATTCAATTATTTTTCAGTCTGAAAAAGGAAAAGAGTTTAGGAAAAGAAAGGACGGAGGTGACTGGAGGAGCTGAGGTGCCAATTAGTGATGCAAACTAGTCCTTTTAAGCTAATGAGGAGACATTTCTTTTAGGATTTTAATGTGCAAATAAAATGCACCTGAGAAGGGAGGAGGTTTCTCATGTAGCCTTTTTTTATATTAATGTCTACAGATAAATGTCAGAAGCAGTAAAATGTAGACACACAAGGCAAACATGAACAGTCGTATCTATAATGATTCTGAGGTCATATTAACAGCGTTTTCCTGCCGTTAAGGCTTAGGGGTGATGCCCAAAACATGCTGTGCCATCACTGTAAAATCACTGTGGAGCAACAGAACCAACCAAATTACTTTCTCCAGATCTAAAGGTTGTAGTTCCTCCAGTAGACTCATCTTTGGGTGTTGGTTATTTATTATCTGCTCTAGCTTTTCCAACTATTTGTTCAGAGAGATGGTGAAAATAATGGCCCGATATGATGTGAAATTACATATTTTTGATTGGAAAACATTACATTTTCTTGGGAGGATCCCCAAAACCCCTGACCAACACCAAAACAGTCATCTAAAGCTCACATTAAACTGGGAAAACACTGCAGTTTTAAGCTATTCTAAGGTGCATCGCATGCTCATGGACACAAGAGCAATGTTGCTGAGACATATTGTGTTCACCTCTGCTGCTACAACTCCATCCTAGGGGAAACACTGTTAAGTTTATTTGTTTTGTGAAGTGTGCTGCTGAAAGAAATCCTAGAGGAAACACTGGTCTGCTCTTGGAGAACAGTGACGCAACCAATTTCCTTTTTAAATACGACCCAGGGAATAAAATGCAGCATATAAAGTGACAGTCACTTACTCATTTTCTTCTGTGTTTCATCATCTTTGCTTTTTTAAAGTTTAGTATATGTTTAGTCTATTAGTTGTTCTGTCCTGAGGTTAAGAGCTCAGTGTGTTATTGTGACCAGTGCAGGTTAATTTGGACTGAGAGCCTTTTTAGTGACTGAAAAGCTGGTGATGCAGTAAAGTTTATTTTATGACTGGTCAGTGAAAGCACCTGTGGGTCAAACAACTTAAGTGTTGATGTTTGTCTTCTTGTTTGTGTGCCTCCTTCAGGTTTGTGGTAATGCTTTGATGAAGCAGTATCAGGTCCAGTTCTGGAAACTCATCCTGCTACTTAAAGAGGAATACTTCCCAAGGTACACACTCGCTTAAGATGTAAAGCGTCTTTCACCAGCAGATAGCCAGATGATTTAGCAGCAGCAGCAGCTCTTGCTACAAATTTAACTTCCTTTTGTCTGATGTGTTGGATGGTGCTTTTTGGTGTCTCCAGAATTGAAGCGGTGACCACCACTGGACAGATGGGCTCAGTCATCAGACTCAAACAGTTTCTAGAGGTACGTGACTGGTAATGTTGGCACTAAACTGGAGTGGTTACTGACACTGGTGTTCTTCAAACAAGATGTACTATGTCCTGAAAAAGGCAACGTTACTTTGTGCTTTTCTAAGAAAGAACAGAAGGTGAAGGCAGTTTGGTCTCCGTTTTTGCCTCAAAGTTCAGTTTAATTGATCTCACAGCAGTTTGTATCCCAACATTGCAAATGAGGGCACGACACCTGTATGCTCTGCTGTCCAGTCTTTCTTGGCCACGTAAAATCTGACTTCTGGTCTGTTAACACCTCATACAGTCTATGATTAACACACAGTTAAAAACGTCACAGTTATTTCCGGGGGCAGCTCCAGAAGGGGACATGTAACCAAAACCGGGGACGTCTGGTCACCCTAAGTTAGCTAGCCTGTTGGTTTTTCAAAAACTACTTGTGTGTCTTTCAACAGAGAGATTCAGCAATGTGAGCATAGTTAATGAAAACAGTTAGTGACCTAGACTTAACTTTTTGAATTCAAATAAACAAACCAAGCGGAGGTCTCTCCGCGACTCAAGCGCCTTTCAGATGTCGACCTGTGTTTCGCCCCGATGTCGATCTGATTCTCGTTTGACCTGACGGGGCACGAGAGCGCGTCGCAGCCTGCGTAAACCAATGGAATGTCAAACAGCCAATCTGGCAGAAATTCAGCCCAGTTAAGAAATTAGTCGACCAGTTCAGGGTTAAAAATATCTTCATGCATTGGGTGTCTGCTTGGCATTTGCTCGGACAGTTGAGATGAAAGCACAGTGTAACACTGTGTTCCCAAAAATGTTTTATTTCCAAAATGAGAAGGCAAATTTACTCACTGCAAGAGAACATTTGAGCTACATGACTTGATGACGTGCAGTTAAAGAGAGAAGCAAATGCAGGATGGACAACAAAATTTAAAATGAAGAAAATGTAGAAAAATGTAAAAAGTTGACAACAGGATTTCTGTCATTACACATTGAAATGCATTAAGGCAATGGCTTTTGTGATCTCAATGTTGGTTGGTTTCTTGTGGGGGAATAAAAGTAAACTTATCTTTGTCTCCCACACATAGACGTCGCTGCAGAGCCGACAGATCAGTCCGCCCAAAGGCCAGCTGAGCTCCATGTTCTGGAGGTCGTGATGGAGGAGGGGCCATGTTGGATGTTGCTGCATGATGCCGATTAGGCATGGAAGGAGACTTTCTCTACAACTTCAGTTAGTAGCAGGAAACTGCAGATAGATGGCCGCCACTTCTGCAGCTGCTGTAGCTCATGGACTTTGGTGTCAGTTTCATTTACTGAAGAGAACTGACCAGAAGGAATTTGATGACGATGACACAATGAAGACCACTACATTTTCTGAATCTCATTATGTTCCAAAGTAAAAATGAATCCAACAGTTTTGAACGGCTAACGGCAAGATATTTATCTTCGGGTTCTTCAAAACAATGAAGGGAGCACTTCTTGCCAACTTAGCCGTCCTCCAACAGCTGTTCGAATGGTTTTCTGGGTGTCACCGTTGAAACGTGTCTCTGTGCACTGGTGGTTTTCTGCTTCTTTCAGCTTTTAGAATATAGTTCTTAAATGAAGACAAGAAATAATTATGCGTTGTGTTGAGATGTAAGCGTCTCCTTTAACGTTTCTTGTGAAGTGCCTCAGTTTGAATCCTTAATGTAAAAGATGTGTTCAAGCTCATAATGTGAAGCTGTTTATATCGGGGGGGGGGGCTATTTTATTTAACTCCATTTGGTCACTACAGGATCTCAACAAGTCTTGAAGCAAAATGGGGTTAAATGATTTTAACTTTTGCTATTTATATTTTTATTAATCCACCATGTGGAACAGCTTTGTGTAAACTGTTAACCAATGTGAATGAAGTTATCCCAAGACTAGAAATATATATGTAGAGGGATTTAACTGCAAATGTGTTCAAAACGTGCATTAGTCACACAACACAAATTATTTGATACAGAAATCTAAAGATGACCTTAAAGGGAAACTCTGTGTGCTTGTTTTGAAGGCGCAGAGGTGTGTTCTGAACATAATGTAGACCGGTGTGTAACAAGAAAGATTGTAATCATCATCTATGAACCAAATGGCTGAAATAAAACCTCATCAGCAGTTTACTTGATGTTTTTGTCATCCTTGGGTTTGTTTTTGTACCCTCCTTGAAGAATACAAGTTTCAAGAGGAAAAATGATTGATCGAGATACTTCAAATCAGAAATCAACGGAAAATTTATTATTTAACTAACAGTGAGAAACAGTCTCTGGTTCAAGCGTCTGAAATATGAGGATTGTTGTTCTGTCATTCTGAATTTAATGTCTGGGTTTTGCAGTTGTCAGATAAAACAACATTTGAAGACATCTCTTTGGCTGGTTGGTTTTAGAACTAAAGGCCACGGGATTATGGGAAGATGCAGGATCCATCCGATATGGGAGGTTAGCGGAACAAATTCCCGAATAAACTTGCAATTATTCAAATTACCAAAAAACTAACAAAACACCCAAGTGAACCTGTGACTTCTGGGACAGTTGTTAGTCCACCCTTGGTCTTTTACAGAAATATACACGATTCTGTGATGAAAATAGGAATTAATTGCACTCTTCAACCTCATCACATTGAAAGAGTAAAAATTTATAGTTAAAAGATCAGTGAGGATTTGAGTCTGTTTTATTAGTGAGGTTTTTGTGATTATTTCTTTTGCAGCACCCTGAAAACATTCAGATAATTCTTCAGATCAGCTTTACGAATATCTGATGAGAAAATTCAGTGCATTATTTTTATTAGTTGTTAGTTTTCTTCTTTGCCACACATTAAAACGAGAGCAGCCGCTGCCTCTGACAAACTGCACTTTTCCTTTTTTCTCAGATGTAATCCTACATATGTGTAATTAGAAAATATTTTTATATTTTTTGTCTTTGGTTAAAAATAAGTTAATGTGAATTGGTGCTCAAATAAAACAATTGTTGTTTCCTTCTTTATTTTCCTTTTTTACAACGATGCACACTGAGTTAGTTTTATGACAATTCAGAAATTGATCTGCAGTTTGCATATTAAAGTACATTCAGAGTGGCAGCCCACCAGTTCTTACCATTTTATTTTACTACAACGAGAACACCAATCCGATCAACCAGACTGATCCTGCATCAGTTACACAAAAACTATCATCTGAAATAAATAAGATAACCTGATCTCATGGTGCCTGCATACACAGAAAACTGCTGAACCGAGAAGAAAATCAAAATAAACTTTTTCCCAGACAAAGCTGCAATAATCTGAAGGGTAACAACGTATATAAAATCAAATTAAATAATAAAGTTTTCTGAAAGTCAACTAGAACAAAATCTCAACATTTTTGATCACTTAAAACTAAGTGATGCGTACTTGACTTCCAATTGAAGAAAATGTTGTTGATAATTGAGGGCTAAAACTTGAAGAAATAAAAAATGTTTTGTTTTAAACTTGAGTCCTTGCGGGGGCCCAAAATGTTTGGTCGAGAAGGAAAAGACCAAGTTAACAAAGAACTACAGTACTTGATGTGAAATACAAGCAGCTAAACGTTTTAGTCATGGTGAAGAGTGAAAAATAACGTAAGCATTTTTCTGACGTTTTGTGACACCATTCAGGGCCTTCCAACTGTCCAACTATTAAAGGGTCAACATGTGATACTTTCACCTCCCCACAACAAAAAACAAAAACATATTTGCAGGAAATTGACAGAATTGCTGCATCAAAGATCTGCAAACTTCTTTTGTTTTCGTTTTGTTTGCATTGCGAAAGTTTGACTCAATATTACTAAAACAGTATGTTGATTTATGTTGCAGTTCCCACAGTTCACCAGTAAAGGTCAGTAAAATGCCCTTAAATGAACAGAAGAGTTGATGGTAAAATATCTGGTGACAGTATGTTAATGTGTGCGATCTCTTTATCTTCATATATGTCTCCAGTTAACTTATTCATACAAATCAACAGGCTTTAAACTCAAGGGCAGGAAATCAATCAGGGCAGTAGTAATTTCCACAATCATAGCAGGAACTTCTTGCTTGCTGATGCTGGTCACCGTCTTTCTGCCGGGTTTACTGTCTTTCTGAGGCTGGAAGGTGTTCTGTGGTCTCCTTCAGCTGTTCGACTGGCTTCGGCTTCAGTTGCGGCCCTCGTGATTGAGCGATGCTCTCTCCATGCGTCTGTACCAGTATTTGACCTTGGTGTTCTCCATCATGTCATCAAACGCCTGCAGGCCCTCCATCACTCTGAGGACGCCAAACACTGCCTGCAGACGGAGGAAAATGGGGGGAACAAAGATACAAAGATAGACATTAAATTGTTTAGGCTGAAACAGTCGCTACATCGTTCTCATCAAAGCCACCAGACTCTCGACAAGACACTTGCATGAATTTGATGTTTTAAAGGGTTAAAAACACCAAAGTCACACAATTACACAAACCAAGACCAAACCGATCGAAGCAGCGGTAACCCAGAGGTAAAGTTAAATTTTTGTCAAGGGAGTCTGGTGGCTTTGATAATAAAAAGCAATTTAATGACAAAAAAAAGGTTTCTCTCTCTCTCTCTCTCTATAATGTTGTCAGAGACTTGTACTAACAATCTGAGCCTGTCAATGTCAAAAACAAGCACTTTAGTGGACTTATTTTGATGGGGCGCAATTGCTAGCAGGGATTACATTGCACCCCTGTTTCGCTGCTTCTGACCGCCAGGTTGTGATGTTGCAGCGCGCTCACTCAACACTGGACCAATTCCAAAAAACCCACATAGATACAAAAACATGGGAAAATATGGTCCAGGTTGAAAAATACCTAAGTTACCTTTTAACTTGTTAGCCTTTTAGCATGCTAACAAACCTATTGTTTGCTTTGTTAACGTACCTGTTTAAGAATACTGATGTTAATGTGCACAGTTAGCATGTTACGCAGTTTAGTAGGCTAACTTGTTTACATAAATGTATGGGGTGGTGAGGGCGCACTGGATAAAATACATCCCTTGGGTGTTAGAGACCTGGGTTCAATTCCCACTGCATTCCTGAGAAAGACACTAATCTCTAGTTGCTCCAGAGGCGTGCGACCTCTGATATACATAGCAATTGTAAGTCGCTTTGGATAAAAGCGTCATTTAAGTCGCTAATTATTATTATTTCATTAACATGCTACATTTTAGCATTTTCTTTTTCAGCATGTTAACTTTTGTATAGCTAATATGGTAACTTTGATGTTAGCAGAACATATTAGCTTTTAGCATTTGTTTGTTTTGTGTTATACGAGTTTGTTTAAAAATGTACTTGTCATTATAAGAATAAATTTAAAAAACTGTTGAAGTACTTTATTTTTTAATAGGACGAAATACTAAGAATGCATCAAGACAAAAAAAGAACATCTGAAGTGAGTGAGTTTTATGTTGCTTTTATCTCAACATAAGCTGAGGCTGATGTCATTAACAGAGAGAGACAGGTGTGTTCCCTCACCAGGTCTGCCAGGTTGGGATGTTCTCCACCCATGAACTTCCTTTTCTTGCCGATGGCTGCCACCCAGTCGTTGACGGCCTTGTAGAGATCCTGCCTGACGTCGTCCTGCAAGTTGTGTCTGTCGTGTCAAAAAAGAGAAGAAGAAAGTCACTGACTTGACAAATAAAAACTAGAATTTTTAACCCCTTAAGCAACAACCAGAAACATTTCCATGGCATGGGAGACAGATAAAAAAAAAAGCAGAACTAAACTCAGTGTAAGATATTCATGTGTAACTCACCGACTTTTGAGCCTTTTGGAGATGAGAAACATGGCCGCAGCGCCGACATATTTGGCAAAGAAACCTTCGAAAGTACCAAACTTGCCCTCGCGTACAATGTAGTCGAAGGAGGCCAAGGCCTCACCGGTAGTTCGGTACACGTTGGGAGATATAAGATGCACAAGCCAATCGTCTGCCCACTGACGCCACTTCATCTCCTCTCTGAAAATAGGAAGAGACAACAAATGCCGGGTACAATAGCATAGTAGCAATAAGACTTGTGATTTGCATAATAAGTCCACGTAGTAGAAATGTTCTATGAAGTAGACTTGCTGGAGCTTTTAACCACATCTTGTGGCTTTGAGTAGATGGAATTTGCTCAGTCGTCATTTAGTTCTTGTACAGCTGCTTGTGTGTAGACAACATTTAATGCTGAGAAGTTTGCCTTGTTTTGTTTAATAATTTTTAAAAAAAGAGGGGGTTGTGTATTGGCACTAATATCAAACAATTTTAAATGATACCCAGTTGCTGGTTTAGACAGTAGGCCAATCACGAGCCAGGGAGCAAGTGTGCTAAACAGCCATTGGATGACACAGAGTGCAATCTTTCAAAATAAAAGTATGCTGATGGTTCCAGGCTGTGATTTCTACCTCTAGCGTCTGACAGTTGTTTGTGTGTGAGCGGCAGGTCTGGACTCACTTCTGCATTCCCTTCTCGCGGTACGCCACCGCCGTCTCGGCCTCGCTCAGCATCAACCAGTACTTGTTGGTGTACTCCGTCACCTCCTTCCCTCTGTCATTCACCGACTTCATCTCCGGGTAGCAGCGAATAATGTCAGACATGCTTTTCTCCCTGGATGACAAAGGTTTCACGTTTAAAGGGTCAGTGCACCCAAATTACAAAAATATTTATAAATTCTCTTTCTCTCCAGTGCTATCTATGCATGCAGTTAGTTTTGTTTTCAATTGCCTAGGAGATTTTAGAAAAGTAATAATTGCTTTATTATCGATTATCGATTGCTCTGCTTATTATTTTCTTGATTAATCACTTTCAACTTTTATTTTGTTCTTTGAGGCCAAGAGTAACAGGAGTAATAACAGCAGACTGAATAAGCAGCGGCACGATTTTGACCATATAAATACTACAGCTGCAATGATTTACTGATTCCGTTTCGACTATTAATTGGTTTAAGAAAAAAAGGCACAATTCTCTCATTTCAGCTTCTAAAACGTGAATATTTCTGGTTCTGTTCCTCTGTGACAGTAAACTCAATATATTTGGGTTGTGGACAAAACAACACTTTTGAGAACGTCATCTTGGGCTTTGAGAAACACTAATTGACATGGTTTTACCATTTTTCTGACATTTTATAGGCCAAACAACTTATAGAT